CATGGGTCACCCAGTTACACCAATTTGCAATGGAGAAATTGACGACCCAAGATGCAAGGCGGCAATGAACCAGGGCAATATTGCACTCAGCCTTTCTTTTCATGCCTCATCTAAGTTCCCACTAGTGTTTTCCAGTATCTATCTATCTATCCCCATACGCCCCCTCTATTTATCTATCTATCTATCACTCCAGTCTTGACTGTACAGATGCCTGCACAGGTAGAGAGCTCACATTAGCTCTCACATGCAGATGACTTTCCTAGTCCTGGAAGTGCCCGTTCCTGCCAGCGGGTGGTTTGTTCCTGGGTTGATTCCTTCTGACTCCGTCTCTTTTAGGCTTCGTCACCTGGAACGACTATGGCCCCAGCTGGTCTTTCCTGTTCGTTTGCAAATACACCCTGCGGAACAGGTACCGTCCAGCTTCGCTCCCACCAGGGCGGGCTATTCTCCGGACAGGCGAACTCTAGCAGTGGCTGACGGTGTCCCGGTGACTGTTCGGGCACTCATGGGGCCTGGTTGTTGTTTATATGTCAGTTGTGCTCAGACTGCGCCAGCCACTGTACACGTAGGAAGACACAGTCTCTGTCCCAGTGAGCGCCACATACAGCGATGGCAGCGTCCTGCCTGCACACCGCCTGCTCGGGAAGCGACGGCTCTGGGGAGCTTAGTCTCCAGGGCTCCTCGGGCCCATGGGTGGGTGACTCCTGTGAGACGGGCACCTTCCTCCCAGGCTGAGATCCACAGGAGCACCTTTAGTTACTGCTGATCTGAAACTGGCCATACTGGCACTAGAGCCTTAGATGGGAAAGGCCCCGTATCCCCGTCCCTGACCCCCTCAACCCACCAGGACCACTTCCCTGGGGCCACATTGGAGCTAGCACCCCCTACAGGGCAAAGGCCCTATGTCCCAGTTCCCCCTCTCTGGGGCCAGATCAGAACTGGCGCCCCTAGAGGGGAAAAGCCCTATACCCCATTCCCTGCCCCACGGGCACCAGATCAGAGCCAGCACCAGCTAGAGGGGAAAGGTCCCATCCACATCTGAGCATCACAACCAACAGCTGTTTCTCTTCCTCTCTGCCTCTGCCCACAGCTGCGGGGACCCCTCCTGGTAACAGGACGTGGTGGAAGACGCCACCTGTATCCTGCCGTGGAGGCTGCGTCACCTTCCTGTGCTGTAGCTTTACATCTGGAACCATTTACTGCTGTGTCCTTATCCCGTCTTTTGTGACCCGGTTAGAACTGGGCAAATAACAGGTTTTGGGGTTTGCTGGGAATTCTGAAAAATTTGGGGGGCAGGGGATTCATTTTAGGACAAATTGAAATTTTATTTTAAAAAATATTCTGCAAATGGAGATGTGGTGGTGGTGGGGGGGATCGTTTTGAGTCCAATGAACATTTTGTTTGGATTGTGACCATTTTAAAACTCTGTTTGTTTTTAATCAGACTAAAGGCCATTTCAAAAGGAAAAGTAGTTTCAGACCAAAGACGCTAAAGGTTTAGATTTTTCTGGGTTGGTTTTTAGTTTTGGCCGATACACTTTAGTGAAGCCAAAACAATTCACCAAATGGTTCGGTTTCACCAAACCTGCATTTTTCACCAGAAAAGGGGCTGGTCTGAAAAGTGTCACCCGCCTGTATTCCCCCTCGGTCCCAGGTGGCGTCTCCTGCTGGGAGCCACTTTCCGATGGGAACCCGCAGCAGGCCGGAGGCCGGGGGAACAAAGGTCACAGTCTCTTTGGACTCCAGAGCCACCCAGCTGTACACTGCGCTCTCACTGGCACGGCATCATTCAGCGATTCTGCTCATGCAAATCTGCTTAGAGAGCTCCCTGCTCTGATCCCTGCTTCTCTTTCTCCCTCCTCTTCCTCCTGCTTTATACATGTACCTGCTCATTCCTACAAATGTTCTGGGCCAAAACAAAATGATCAATAAAAAAGCTGTTTGCCCAGAGAACGAATGTAGTAGTCATTGTACAGCGCCTGGAACAGTGGGGACCTGGCCATGAGTGGGGCACCCAGGTGCTACTGTAATACACCTAATAATGTGCAGCGCCTGGCACAGTGGGGCCTGGTCCATGATTGGGGCGCTCAGGTGCTACCATATAAAGAATACACCTAATAAATAATAATGCCCATGACAATGTGGAGTCTGTAAGGCTCAGTTCTGCTCCTGAATGATTGATGTTTTGAACCCCCAAACTGAGCTGGGGGCGGTAAGGGCAGCAACTTGTGGGGAAAGGTGTATAAAACCACGGCAGCTTTGCCAGGTGGAACGCTCGCTCGCAGCGTTGCCTTGGGGATGAGCCAGGGTTCCAAATTTCCTCTTGACTCTCTGAGATTTCAAGGGACGGGGCGATTTCTCTCCTCTCCCCCAGCGGAATTCCCCATCTCAAGTCACCAGCACGACCCGACG